AGCGGCCCACGTTCGGCGATCCCTGATCTAACGGAACACAGCACAGAACACTTTGTCTTAGGCCAAGGCAGGCCCAGGTTTGGTGATCCCTGATCTAACGGAACACAGCACAGAACACTTACCCCCAGAGCGCCAAGAGAAGGGTTCAGCGACAGCAGACAGCTCACGCAGGATGTAGGTATATACATGTAGATTTATAGTCTATGACAAACAGCTACATGTAGATCTATAGTCTATGACAAACAGCTGCCGTCTTTGTGAATAATTCATGAGCCGGTGTGTGTGTAGGTCCCCGCTTCCAATCAATACAGTAAACAAAGTGAAAGTTGTTACTCGGTTTTATTTGGTTATTAAGAGAAAAATGATACTGTAACAGAAAGTAATCGCAGAAGAATGGAGAAAAGGCAGCCCTTATGGAATAAACCATTTAGCACTTGCCTCTCCATTTTACAAACAGAAAAAAACCAGAAGATTTTCCAAAGAATGCACCATGCAATCAACAAGTTTCCAATCATGAACACAAGGATAGCACGCGTCTCCTCAAATGTGGCAAAAATAAGGATCAAGAGATCACAAATGAAAAAAAGCAAAACATTGTCTAGAAAACAAGTCAAGGGTAACAGAAATAAATAAACGCTAAGCAATAATTAATTCAAATGACATGAAACAATTAACAAGCTTTTTAAAATGCATAAATTAAAAAAGACAACAATGGAGCACTAAAATGTAGTTAGTTCAACTCAGAATTAGTAAAATTCCTTATCCAAATGTAGAAACTACATCATATACATGTCGATTCTATGCCAATCTACTTCTGTGTGATTACAACAATAAAACTTTGAAACAAATGTTAAGGACACTGCAAATTTCCTGTAATGAACTTCACATGACGAAAACAAAACTTGTCAACAAGATAGGAAGACAGAGACAAAAACAACACTTGTCAACAAGACAGGAAGACAGAGACAAAAACAACACTTGTCAACAAGACAGGAAGACAGAGACAAAAACAACACTTGTCAAAAAGACAGGAAGACAGAGACAAAAACAACACTTGTCAACAAGACAGGAAGACAGAGACAAAAACAACACTTGTCAACAAGACATGAAGTTAGAGACAAAAAAGATTTGTTTTATTCCATGTTACAACAGGAGCAACACTGTTCCAATGTTTGGATGTATAAGCCAAGTATAGAAATACAAGATGTTCAAATAAATAAAATATGTACACTTGTAACAAAAGTCACGACTGGCATTCAAGACACTTGTTCTCAAGCCATACTCTTAGCCAATACAATGTATCAGATTCAGAATAGGAAACAAATGGAATACAACCCCCCCCCAACCTCGCCAAAAAAATCCCAAACAGAAAAAAGTAAAAAGAGAAAAAAAAAAACCCCAACAAAACAAATGTTACGTTATTCGGGAAATTTGTGTTTCAAATCATTCCACAGCTACTTTGTAGTAAACAGCTAAGACAATATCATCACCAAAGACCGGTCTTTGATATCACACCTCAGCTGATATACATGCATCACACCTCCGCTGATAGAAACTAGATTGTTTAGGAGGCCAGCTGCCCCAACTATGCCTCCGATCAGTCTGGGTTATGACAAATTTCTTCCAGGAGAATAACAGATACAATTGTTAAAACATCTTTCTTGGGTGGGAGTCTAACGCAAGTCCTTTACAAGGGAGAGAGCGTGTTTATATTACAGACGCCAAAGTTTTGATAAAGACAAAAAAAAAGGGAGACAAGTTTTAGTTATAATATAATGAAAAAAGACAATCTAAGAACCCAACACCCACTTCAAAACAGCCCCTGCCCTAAACAGGAAGCAAAGACATGAAATAAAACAATAATGAGATTCAGTAATACTTGTAGTACATTTGGTACATCTTCTGTACACACCTCGAAAACTAACACACACTGGCATCTACAGTAATACTGTGTGGTGATTGTGACCTAGGGTTATTGCAAACATAACACACCTGTACACACCTGTACACAGAAACACACACATAATGTACACATAATTTATCGAGGAACATGACATTCAGCAATACTGATAGATATGATGTTCCAACTCCCGGAACAAAACTTTCCACTACACGTCATCTACTTCCGTACACGATCCAGTTCCTTTAGCTCAGGGCGGTCACACTCAATCGCACGGGGGGCGGCGGCACTTCAAGGTCGTGAGCCACACTGGATAAATACTCACTGAGCAGTGGAAAGCTCAACCTTGGTTTCAACAATAACAGAAACTACCGTATAAGAGACAAAAGTCAATTTAGAACAAATCCCATTTTTCTCTTCAAAGACAATTTGTCAGTGCTGCATGGAAGTTTGGATGTTAGGACTTTTGGCATCTTTTTGTTTTGGCAACAAGTTCATTTCTGTTTGGACTAAGATTTAGTGTTACGCAGATACTCAGGATGGCCGACCTGAAATTCTCTTGTGGGCCAGACATAACTGTTGGCCAGGCCAGAGGTGGCCCACGGGCCTTGAGTACCAGTTGGTTTAGGTAAGTGTTTTACGACACTTGCTACACAATAGATCATATAGGCCTTGAGTTTTAAGGCACTTGCAACACAATAGATCAAATAGCCCTTGAGTTTGACACATGCACTTTAAATAATTTGGAACAGGATAATACATGTATGTATATTAACTAGAAATGTTTTTCTCACTGAATGCTGAATTAACTAAAGATCATCATGGCTCCAGGATAAAAAGACAGCAAAGTAAAACATAATTTTTGTTGTTAAAAGAATGCATGCATCTAATTCTTAATGCCTGACTAGACAGAGAGAAGTGTCCAATGTGGAAAGGAAGAGGACAAAGTAACAAATTTCATAAATATTTCTGTTAAAATGCTTCCAATGACGGAAATTCTTGACTGCCAACAACAAAGACGTCTCTGGCTAAGTCAATACAGAAAAGAAGATGCACATTAGTTTAATTTAGAACTTCACAAAGTTTCAGAATCCTGTATTTTTCATTGGATCTGGTCAAGCACTTAGTAAACAAAAATCCTAAGGACGCATGTTTCCAAAACAGGTCCCCGTTTAACCTTCTTTTTCTGACACCAAGCAGCAGGTTTGACAAGCTGAACAAATTGTTGGGAATAATTTTTTTCCTTTAGTCAGGAGACCACATCAACCCCACCCGTCAAGACAGCCCCGGCTCAGTGGAACACAGTCCCGCACAAACATGGAGATACTCAATAAACATGTTTTCAACACACGGAGATACTCAATAAACATGTTTTCAACACACAAGAACCAAACGTACATGTTTTCAGCAAATGACAAATGACAAACTCATTGATTAGGATACAATCACCAGAAAATTTGGACAACGGTGTCGCAGTATATCAGCAGTCCCCACACTCTCTTATTGCTTTTGTACATTTGTAAAAACTAGCAAACAAAATCCTGTTAGAAAAACATGATAAATTCTTACCCCACGTACGTTCAATTTGAGTGCAATAAAGTTAGCTGTGTATACATCGCTGTACGAAACACTCTAGTCCAGACTGCGGCACACAGGTGTGCCTCCATTGGGGTCAAGTTGAACTACGGGGACAGTCAAGTTGAACGCTCTTTATGCAAAAAGTAGATACCAGCAGAACAATGTATCACCAGCAACATTTTAGAGGCTGGTGTTTTCCCTGTGCCTAATGACACATTTTCTGTCTCTTTGTTGCGACAAAGTTTTTCAGCATGGAACAAAAAACGAGTTTCAATACGAACAGGTTAAGTTGTAGTAGAGGTTTTACGGCGCTTGCAACTGCATAAGGTCATATGAGCGCCAGAAGATTAGAGGTGTTACAAGAGAGAAACAAACATAAAAAAGAAGAAGGGGAGATAAGGACGATAGATGTTTGATAGGAAAGAAGAAGCAAACCACACCAGAGCACCTGCCAAACACCCGCACGGACAGTGTAATACAGGGATGTTCTTAGGACATATTGCTTAACACTGTCCATAAACTGAACGTACAGACAACAGCATCCGTTTACAACAAGTTGGAGTTTGAGCAAAGAGAAGCACAACGACATGACAACAGTCATGTATAGCACGAATCAAAGACTCAGTTATTCAGATTTGTTGACTTGACAGCTGTCGTCTGAGTAGCAAAACGTTAAAGTAAGAGTTCACAGAATAATTCACACTGCATTCCTACAATCATTCATTTGTTACTTAAATAATGTTTTAGAAAACAAGAAAAAAAGTCCACAAGTATGTACATCGCTTGAATGCCAAAAAAAAAACAAAAAAAAAGAGATCAAAAAGTATTTCCCAAGGCCACAGTGCTGATGATCTATCTGCTCTCAAAGAGGAAAACAGACATCATCCCAAAAAGCAAAATTTGTTTCAGAATGCATTTGTTCAGAATCCCTCCAAATAAACGCATGCTCTGGTACAGTGAAGTATGCTTACACCAAGGACTAGTATGTAGACCACTATGTTGTCCTTGGCTTCAACCGAAATCAGCGAGAACATTTGGAAGTTGCTCAAATTGAAAAAAAAAATTGGAGATTGTCTGTGCCGGTCCCAGCTGAGAAGGAAACAACATCCCAGCAGAGAGACCAACACAACTACAGTCCACGCTGGCTTTAAGCACGGTCATTGGGAGAAAGCAAGAGCATGCCTTATGTCAAAGCGTGCTTGAGCGCGAACTACACATTGTCATGAGATTTTTATATGTATGTAGAAAATTTCCAGAGCTATTTTCCTTTGTTCATAAGTCGTGGTCGTGCAAAAGTGTGCGTTGTCATATTAACCTGCCATGCTAGTTTTTGTTTGTTAGTTTGTTTTCTTTTGTGGTCGAATGGGAAAGGAAAACTTCATTGAGACGGCCAGTCATGATACAGCACACTAGGCCAACACACTGCCTGTGCGTACAACCTCGCGCTTGATGCATAATCAGGATTATCGGATAGCGAGGGGCAGAAGTGAAATCGCAGCCAGCCTCCCTTTCTCGTCTCCCCTTTTTCTCTTTGTATCTTTTTCGTATGTGTGTAGCTTTGCCCTGGGCTAGATCCTTCCTTTCCGTGCGCGCGTTCATTTGCATTTGTTTGTGTTTCTCTTAACACACTCCACTTCTGTGGTGTAGACTGTTCGAACTTCGATGGGTCATCATGAAAGTATTGACTGTCTTGTAAATGAAGCGTGCCTGAAGTGGAAGCTACCATGCTTAAAGGCGTGTAATTTGTGTTGCAAAAATTCTGTAAAAGCCGTTTAGCTTGCTTGGGTCCGATACATGTTTTATGCCGGCGTGTTTAAAGCCGGCACGGACTGTACTAGTCAACAGAGAATGTGGACTTTTTGATACAAAAACTTCTGTACTCACACCCCAAAAGAATGTATTACATACGATTTTTTTAAACGAACTGTTGAAACTGGTATTGATTCTGAGACATCAGTTTGAATGACTTGATGTTAGTCGACAAATTCTGCACGATCATACAAATGTACACCGCACTTCATACAACTTGGACAAAATCAGACAAGCATAAACTTTACCTACTAAAAATCTGACATAATAACACAAGCTCAAAGTTCGCCAACTATAAATTCTACAAAACAAACAAGCGTTCACTCCAACTAAGATCCAAGCAAGAGATCAGAAAGAACTGAGAAACAAGCAAAAGAAAATTGCGCTGAAAGTTCAAAACTGGGACGGCATTCCGCACTGTTCAAATTCACAAACCATTTGTAGAGAAAAGTCTCTGTACCCTGCATGCATTCATCATTTTTTCTTTCAGTTTCATATACCATGTGTCTGTCTTCCTTTCTCTCTCTCTCTCTCTCTCTCTCTCTCTCTCTCTGTGTAATACATTATATCTCACACCCTTCATTCACTTCCTTCCCTCCCCCTCCAAAGCCCCGACTAGAAGCCCCACCACACCTCCCACGACCTCCGACTCGACTACATCTTGCGGGGCAGGTGAGCGGATCTGTTGAGCCGCATCCTCAAACTCTCCACACTGAGCGGCCGCCGGAGCTGTGAGGGAGGAGCCGAACCTGGGACGTCCATGCGAACCATCGCGCCGTCAACGTAGCTGGGGACGACAACATGGGAGGAACAGTCAGCGACACAGAGGGCAACGTTTATATTACTTATTATACGACCTTTGTGCTTTGAAGAACTTTAGTATCTTCACATCTCAATAAAGGAATCTCTTACTATAACAGAACTTTGAGATTGTACTTTCGACATAAAAAATGAAAAAACATTATCATGATATTATTCTTTTTTTAAGGAGGCTGAAAATATCATTACTGCTTATGTATTGAACACTTTGAGCACCTTCTTCTCTATTCAGAAAATGTTAGCGGACAAAAAAAATCTGAACAATTGAAAAAAAAACCTGTTGACAAAACCAGGTCTATGAAAACATACAATGTTAACTTAGCTCCCCAGTCTGCTTGGACTTAAGTTTCAGCCTCAACATGACTTTACTCAACATGACTAAGTACTAAGTAAGGCCACACTTGTTGGGGCATCATATGTAACAGAAAGTGAAAATTTTCCAGATTTCTTGTTGTAGCAAATCTTTTCTAAGAGCTTTCTGGAAAAGGTAGAAAAGTGATTTTGTTATGCAATACAATATTATATTACACGGACACACATAGGACAGCGAAGCGTAAACATAATACATATTATATATATGCGGGGCTAATGGAAGCTTCTCACAACAGGCTAAAAATGATCAACACTTCCGTTCAGCTGTGACTCTTACACAGAGACTCCAAAACTGACAGGACGAGTTTCTGACAGTGCTCTGACAAGTTTCTGACATTGCTCTGACAAGTTTCTGACATTGCTCTGACAAGTTTCTTACATTGCTCTGACAAGTTTCTTACATTACTCTAACATTATGACAAGTTTCTAACATTACCTAACTGCTAATGTACTATTTACAAGTTTGTTCTACCAACTCTAGGATTACACAGAGCAATGAAGACCGGACAAGTCAGATGACAAAGAATTGACGAGAGGCTTGTTTCATCGTGCAAGCTTCCACTGATACTGACACACTGCACGGGGAGGGGGAGGGGGAGGGAGAGGGGATATGTAGCAGTTTTTAATATATATCTACATCTTATCCATTTGCCCAGGCTTAGGTGCTATGTTATTTAACAACATTGACTCAAGATCAAATAAAATAATATAGCCTACTTTACAGTTTTGTATAATGTCAAACAGGTAAATATCTCTGAAATAATCCAATGAGACACAGCAACATATAAGGGATGCATTGTACAATAAAAACAAGCGTTGAAGGGATGTGGAAAGCGGGTGGTGGGTGCTGGGGAGAAAGGGGGGGGGGTAGGAAGGGGAAAAGCATTCTTTGTATTTTCCTTTTGCCACTGAGGGCGTATGGTAAGGCCAGGGGGAGAGGGGGTGGGGTGAAAGGCACCAAACATATACCACAGCTATCGCCAAAAGTTCAAACATCAACAAAGAACACACAAAATGATGAAAGATCTGCTCGGGACAGGGTCTAAATCAAGTACCCCCCCCCCCCCCCCCCCCCGTCTGCTGCTATATTGTTTGCTATAGAGCGCGGGTTGGCCCTGACAAATCAGGTCTACAGAAACAGCACGCCTCCCGAATGTCAGACAAAGGGAGACATTCAATGACACCTGAGAACGGTCATGATGTACTGGACACAGACAGACAGACAGACAGACAGACAGACAGACAGACAGACAGACAGACAGACAGACAGACAGACAGACAGACAGACAGACACTTGATTTAAAACGTTTCTTCTTAGGAACTTGTATCTTGTATTGGAGCATGCGTGCAATATACACTTGTCCAATTTCTCATAATATTTTACGATAAATGAAGTGTACGGTTATCAGACTTGTCGAAACTTTGTAAAAAAAAAAGAAGTGTAGTTTATTTTTAAAGTTTGATTTCGTCGAATCTGTATAGAAGTATGGTCTATGCGTGTATGATTGAGCAGAATTTGTAGAATAGAAGCCCCTTTTCGCTGCCGATTTTTTTGATTTTACAAAAATCTGAATTGTTCCCAATTTGATTCGATGAGAGTTGGTGTGGAGAATGCATCGAAGAGCCTCACACTGACGTCACAGACACCAGGGCTCGCTGATTCAATCAGTGCGCATGGTCTGCGTTTTCACGTCGTTTGTTTTGGGGGCACTTGTCAAAAGAAGTAGAACTTCCTTATTTGTACAGATTTGTTCAGTTGTGTACTTTATCTGAAACTTGAAAAAAAAATGAAGTAACACTAGGCAGCCTATACTATGACATGCGCAAATTCGTGTTTCTGACTTGTCTATGATTTGGTAAATATAACGCAAAATTCCTTTCGATCTTCAGTTCAACAACCGACTAGATCAGGGCCAATGGTAAGGAATAAGCCTGCAACAATGCCTTCTGTCTGCTGCTGCTGATTCCGACATAATTAGTATGCGCCCGCCACATTCTCAAACAGTTTATGAATGTGAAAAAGGACAAAACGCCCGAACAGTGTTCCCAGGCCATCATAAATAATAATAATATAATAATAATAATACTAATAATAATGTATGATGACAATTCCTGCGGCAGCCCCTGGGTGGCGGGGAAACAACACTTGACATAAGGCCCTCAGGACAATCTCTGGCAAAGTGGACTCGGGGAGCGCACAAAAAAAAACAACAACCCCCAATTTACTGCGAAGAGAAAAATGCCACGGTGCACTATTAGCAATGGTGCGTAAGCTATGCTAGCTTTTTCCACTATTACCAATGGTGCGTGCTATGCTAGCTTTTTCCACTATTACCAATGGTGCGTGCTATGCTAGCTTTTTCCAAGCGGCCAAATCCCCTACCCTACCCCCCCCACACACACACACAAAACGACATTGAAAAATAGACTAAGCAATTCTTCTCAACAAACAAACATTCCTTAAAGAATTGCACGAGCAGGCAAAACTAGAGGGAGTAATCACCCTGTGAACTAGTGACTTAACTTTCTTCTGACTGCACAATACCCCTCCCCACCCCACCCACCAGCAAAATAAAATAAATACATAAAATTACACAACAAGCAAGACTTACAGACTCGGAACTGTTCCGAATAGCCATCAGAAAAATCAAATTCCATGGTACAAACTAGGTCATCTACTCGCAACAACTACCCATCTCAACTTATGTCATGAAGCAGTAATATGTTGGCTTTTTTCACATTTCAAAATCTCCCCGCACCAAAAAAAATATCATATTAAACATATAATAAAATAAATGAAAAAAATAAATAAAACCTAATTTGAACCCCCCAAACATTATAAATTTCATTAAAAGCTATTTCTCTTTGAAGAAATCAATAAACATAAGACAAAGAGGATTTGGGCAAACGCATTCCCACCCCACCCCCACAAAACAAAACAAAAAATTTAAAAATTTAATTTCAAAACACACAACTAAGTCATGACATGGAGACACAGGATTGTTCATAAACAACACACAAAGCCAAAACAACCCAAAAAACTTGGTGGGTGGGGTATACAGACTAGCTCATCTAGAGAATGGGGCGGTGAACAACAACAGCTAGATCTAACTACCCATCAAACTAACTACCCATCAGACTAACTACCCATCAGACTAGCTCATCTTGGCAGTCAGGCCAACAACGACTAGATCTAACTACCCATCAGATCTAACTACCCATCAGACTAGCTCATCTAGTGAATCACCCGCCAACAACGACTAGATCTAACTACCCATCAGATCTAACTACCCATCAGACTAGCTCATCTAGTGAATCAGCCGCCAACAACGACTAGATCTAACTACCCATCAGACTAGCTCATCTAGTGAATCAGCCGCCAACAACGACTAGATCTAACTACCCATCAGACTAGCTCATCTAGTGAATGGGGCGGTGCACAACAACTAGATCTATCTACCCATCAGACTCTGGTGCCGACACAGCGAAGCTACACACCGAGGAGAAGGAACGACCCAGGACCGGGTTCATCATCGGCAGTCTGTCTAGGCGGACAGAATAGACCCTGGCAGAAAGAGTACAGCTTTGGGCCAAACGAAACAAGAGCTTTGGAACAGATACATTTACTCGTTGAAGCATGTTGTTTTGTAAGAAAGAGTTTTACCAACGGCACTTGCAACACAATACGGTCATACAATACAAATGCCGAAGATAAGAGGTGTTACAAGTTATAGAAGAGAGTAATACAAAAACTAGAAAGAGGAAGGATAAAGACGACAGATGTGTGACAGGAAAGAAGGAGGAGAGATAAGGACGATAAATTTATAGACATTAAGGACGATAAATAGAGATAAAGACGATCAATAGAGATAAGGACGATAAATAGAGATAAGGACGATAAATAGAGATAAGGACGACAGATGTGTGACAGGAAAGAAGGAGCAAACCACACAAATTACCCGCCAAGAACCCACTCATTCGAACTACAATTCTGTCCGTCGTAAGAAAACATACTGCTTTTGAGTCAGACAGAAAACGAGTTTTATATCACGTCGTAATAAAAAGTACTGAATCCCCGTTTGGATTTCTCTGTTGACATCCAACCCTTGGTGCTCATGTGACCATATGCAGTTGCGAGCGCCGTAAAACCTCAACAAAAAACAAAACAATAAAAAGTACAATTTTGGGCCAGTTGGAAAACGAGTTTTGTACCAACTACGATTCTACACATCTTAAGAAAAATATAGCTTTGAGCCATATTGAACAAGAATGTTTTACCAACTACGATTCAAACGCCGTATGAAAAAAATACAGCGTTGATAGACAAAAAAAAACCCAAGAGTTTTGTACCGACTATGACTCTACACGTCAAACGATAAAGTATATTATTATTGTACAGTTCTTTGGCCATACAGAAAATAAAAGTTTGGAACCAACTAGAAATACGATTCTGCACGTCGTAAGCAAAAATACAGCTTTGAGCTAGATGGAACACGAGTTTAGAACCAACTACGATTCTACACATATCGTAAGAAAAAGTACATCTTTGGCCAGACAGAAAACAAGTTTTGAACCAACTACGAATCCAAACTTCGT